TCTTTTTATTTTGCACACGCTAGGCCCTTGTTCTTGCTATTTCGCGAACGCTAGGCCCTTGTTCTTGATTTATTGCACACGCAAGGCCCTTGCTCTTGCTATTTTGCACTCGCTAGGCCCTTGTTCTTGCAATTTTGCACATGCTAGGCCCTTGTTCCTGCAATTTTGCACATGCTAGCCCTTTGTTCTTTTTATTTTGCACACGCTAGGCCTTTGTTCTTTTTATTTTGCACACGCTAGGTCCTTGTTCTTGCAATTTTGTGTCAGAATGTTATTTGTCTAGCCTGCAGTGGGGTGCTCAATACTGAGTACAACCCCTTAGGGTTTTCTATTTGTGTGTCCTGCTGCTTGCTAGTCCATCATTCCTTCCTTCCAATTCTCCTTCCCAAACCCTAAGTCCTAGTTCTAAAGCACCTTGCCTACCTCCTAGTGTGGGCCTAGGCTACTAAGCCTAGGCCCCACCTCCTACTATTCTAACATGTTATCAGAGCCCGTTCTCCCTTGGCCTGTGGGCCCCTATGCTTCCGCTGCAGTCCTTCTTCCTGCCGTGCGCTCGGGGCGCGCGGCGGTTTTCCCGTCTGTCGAAGCGCCCTCGGGGGGGCCTGCGCGCTGCCCTCCCCGCTGCTCGTCGCGACGCCCGTGCGGGACCCGCGCGGCGTCGCCCTGCTCGTCGCGACGTCCGTGCGGGACCCGCGGGGCGTCGCCCCTGCTCGTCGCGACGTCCGTGCGGGACCCGCGCGGCGCCGCCCTACTTGTCGCGACGTCCGTGCGGGACCCGAGGGGCGTCGCCCCTGCTCGTCGCGGCGTCCGTGCAGGACCCGCGGGGCGCCGTCAGAGCCAGCAGCAACCGCCGCCAGAGCCTACAGCAGCGGCCGCCACCACCCAGCAGCAGCAGCCGCCGCCAGGCCTGCAGCAGCTGCCGCCACCGCGCCTGCAGCAGCAGCTGCCGCCGCTCTGCAGCAGCAGCCGCCGCTCTACCAGCAGCAGCAGCCGCCGCCGCTCTGCAGCAGCAGCCGCCGCCGCCCAGCAGCAGCAGCTGCCGCCAGAGCCTGCAGCAGCAGCCCCTGGAGCCGCCACTGCAGCAGCAGCCCCAGGAGCAGCCGCCCCAACGGCAGCAGCCCCTGCAACGGCCACCCCTGCAGCAGCAGCCCCTGGAGCCGCCACTGCAGCAGCAGCCCATGGAGCAGCCGCCCCAGCAGCAGCCGCCCCAGCAGCAGCCGCCCCAGCAGCAGCAGCCCCTGGAGCCGCCACTGCAGCAGCAGCCCCAGGTGCAGCCGCCCCAGCAGACGCCGCCCCTGGACCCGGTATGCCCTGTGCTGCCTGCTGCCTGTGCTGCCCGTGCCTGTGCTGCCCGTGCCTGTGCTGCCTCTGCCTATTGCTGCCCGTGCCTGTGCTGCCCTGTGCTGCCTGTGCCTGTTGCTGCCTGTGCTTGTTGCTGCCCGTGCCTGTGCTGCCCTGTGCTGCCCGTGCCTGTGCTGCCCGTGCTTGTGCTGCCTGTGCCTGTGCTGCCCGTGCCTGTGCTGCCCGTGCCTGTGCTGCCCGTGCCTGCTGCTGCCCGTGCCTGTGCTGCCCTGTGCTGCCTGTGCCTGTGCTGCCCGTGCCTGTGCTGCCCGTGCCTGTGCTGCCTGTGCCTGTTGCTGCCCGTGCCTGTGCTGCCCTGTGCTGCCTGTGCCTGTTGCTGCCTGTGCCTGTTGCTGCCCGTGCCTGTGCTGCCCTGTGCTGCCCGTGCCTGTGCTGCCCGTGCTTGTGCTGCCTGTGCCTGTTGCTGCCCGTGCCTGTGCTGCCCTGTGCTGCCCGTGCCTGTTGCTGCCTGTGCCTGTGCTGCCCGTGCCTGTGCTGCCCGTGCCTGTGCTGCCCGTGCCTGTGCTGCCCGTGCCTGCTGCTGCCCGTGCCTGTGCTGCCCTGTGCTGCCTGTGCCTGTGCTGCCCGTGCCTGTGCTGCCCTGTGCCTGTGCTGCCCGTGCCTGTGCTGCCTGTGCCTGTTGCTGCCCGTGCCTGTGCTGCCCTGTGCTGCCTGTGCCTGTTGGTGCCTGTGCCTGTGCTCCCCGTGCCTGTGCTGCCCGTGCCTGTGCTGCCCGTGCCTGTGCTGCCTGTGCCTGTTGCTGCCCGTGCCTGTGCTGCCCTGTGCTGCCCGTGCCTGTGCTGCCCTGTGCTGCATGTGCCTGGTGCTGCTCGTGCCTCGTCCTTGCGCCCTCGTGCGCTCTGCTACTGTCTGCGCCCTCGTGCGCACTGTTTCTGCTCTCCCCCCCCCCCCGTTTGCGGGTATGGGGGTGGCTGGTGTGCATTCCTCCCTTTGCTCCTCCTCCTCCTTCGTCTCCCACTGCTGCAGCTGTCGCTGAGGGGGGAGGTTGTGTGGGAGACTGGGGTTTAGGGTTTAAGGGGCGTGCGTGGGAGTGGAGCTAGCGGTGTAGCAACGGGTGTGTGTCAGGGGGGTGGGACTGTTTGGGGAAGCTGCATGGAAGTTGCCGTACTGTAGTCCGCAGCACCTGTAGTCCGGGGCGCTGTCCCGGTAGCCCAGTGAGCTAGACTTCTACGCCAGCCGCCTGTGGGTCCGTTGCCCGTCCGCCGCTATTTGAGCCGCGGGGCCTGTTACTCCTGTAGTCCGGGCGCTGTCCGGTAGCCGCTGTGCCAGTCTGCCTCCTGTTGCCCGTGTGTCTGCAGCTTCAGCCGTCGCCTCCTATCTCCTCTCCCCTCACTCTCTCACCTCCTCCTCACTTGCCCGTTGTGACTACCACCAGCTTTGCTCATAATTCTTAACTTTAAACTATTGTTTCTTTAACTTGTGCTCAGAATGTGTGGTGACATTGTGATCCACCCTGAGCTTGTACTGCTTTGCGTGCTCTGCTGATTACACCCCACTTTGGCTATGGGGGTGTGTCAGAATGTTATTTGTCTAGCCTGCAGTGGGGTGCTCAATACTGAGTACAACCCCTTAGGGTTTTCTATTTGTGTGTCCTGCTGCTTGCTAGTCCATCATTCCTTCCTTCCAATTCTCCTTCCCAAACCCTAAGTCCTAGTTCTAAAGCACCTTGCCTACCTCCTAGTGTGGGCCTAGGCTACTAAGCCTAGGCCCCACCTCCTACTATTCTAACATTTTGCACATGCTAGGCCCTTGTTCTCTTTATTTTGCACATGCTAGTCCCTTGTTCTTTTTATTTTGCACACGCTAGGCCCCTGTTCTTGCTATTTTGCACACGCTATGCCCTTGTTCTTTTTATTTTGCACACGCTAGGCCCTTGTTCTTGCAATTTTGCACATGCTAGACCCTTGTTCTTTTTATTTTGCACATGCTAGGCCCTTGTTTTTGCTATTTCGCGAACGCTAGGCCCTTGTTCTTGATTTTTTGCACACGCTAGGCCCTTGCTCTTGCTATTTTGCACTCGCTAAGCCCTTGTTGCAATTTTGCACATGCTAGGCCCTTGTTCTTGCAATTTTGCAAACGCTAGGCCCTTGTTCTTTTTATTTTGCACACGCTAGGCCCTTGTTCTTTTTATTTTGCACACGCTAGGCCCTTGTTCTTGCTATTTTGCACACGCCATGCCCTTGTTCTTTTTATTTTGCACACGCTAGGCCCTTGTTCTTGCTATTTCGCGAACCCTATGCCCTTGTTCGTGATTTTTTGCACACGCTAGGCCCTTGCTCTAGCTATTTTGCACTTGCTAGGCCCTTGTTCTTGCAATTTTGCACACGCTAGGCCCTTGTTCTTGCAATTTTGCACACGCTAGGCCCTTGTTCTTTTTATTTTGCACACGCTAGGCCCTCGTTCTTGTATTTTGCACATGCTAGTCCCTTGTTCTTGCTATTTTGCACTCGCTATGCCCTGTCAGATTATCATAGTTGATGCATGTTTGTAGGCTATAGTGGGGTAGCACATATGGGGTACAGCTTTCTAGGGTTGTATTTGTACCCAACCCTGACTTAGTCATTTCATTCCTGTTCACTTGTTTCACATGGTATAGAGCGGGTCCTTCCTTAGGACCGTTTTTTTTTTAGGGCCCACCGAAGCGCGCCCCGAGGCGCGCCTTTTTTTTTTAGCGACCCCTCGGGTCGCCATTTCCCTCGCGGCCCCGCTGTCCCTCAGACGCGGCCCCGCCACCCCTCCTGATCGCGGCCCCGCCGCCAGCTTCGTCGCGGCCCTGCCGCCAGCTTCGTCGCGGCCCCGCCGCCTGCTTGACGCGGCCCCGCCGCCTCCACTGACGCGGCCCCGCCTCGCCGGCTCTGACGCGGCCCTGCCGCCCGCTTCGTCGCGGCCACGCCGCCTCCCCTGACGCGGCCCCACCGCCGGCTCCCCCGCTGCACCCTACGGCCCGCCGCTGCACCCTACGGCCCGCCGCCTCACCTGACGGCCCCGCCGCTGCACCTGCCGGCCCGCCGCTGCACCTGCCGGCCCGCCGCTGCACCTGCCGGCCCGCCGCTGCACCTGCCGGCCCGCCGCTGCACCCAGCGGCCCGCCGCTTCACCTGACGGCCCCGCCGCTGCACCTGCCGGCCCGCCGCTGCACCCCACGGCCCGCCGCTGCACCCTACGGCCCGCCGCCCCACCTGGTCGGCCCGCCGCTGCACCCTACGGCCCCGCCACTGCACCTGTCGGCCCGCCGCTGCACCGGTCGACCCGCCGCTGCACCTGACGGCCCCGCCCCTGCATCTCCCGGCCGAGCCGCCACAGCAGCAGAGCCGCCCCAGCAGCCGAACCCCCCGGGAGCCGAGCCGCCCAACGCCGAGCCACCCGGGACCCGAGCCGCCCTGCTGCCGAGCCCCCCGGGAGCCGAGCCGCCCTGCACCCGAGCCGCCCTGCCGCCAAGCCGCCCGGGAGCCGAGCCGCCCTGCGCCCGAGCCGCCCAGCCGCCGAGCCGCCCGGGAGCCGAGCCGCTGTGCACCCGAGCCGCCCGGTCGCTGAGCCGCCTTTCTGCATAGCTGCACGACCTGCCCTGCCTGGTGAGCACAGTCCCACTGACACTGCGAGCTCTTTCCCTACTGCTTGCACTGCGTCGCTGTCGTCGCCATGGCTACCCCTAGTGTCCTAGCTTTTGACGCTGAGGGTCGCGCCATTGATTTTGAGGTCTGGTTAGACGACCTGCAGCTGTTCTTACAGTGCGACAGGGCTGACGACCTTTCTCTCTTTGACCTCACCTCTGGCGCCTCTCCTGCTCCTGTTGCTGATGCTGATCCCACTGTCCGCTCTAAGTGGGCCACCCGCGATGCTGCTGCACGTCTTGCTGTGCGTCGCCACCTCCCTACCTCTGAGCGTGCGCACTTTAGTCAGTACAAGAGTGCTCAGACCTTGTACGACGCTGTAGTTGCGCGCTACTCCTCCCGTGCCACTGCTGCACTGAGCCGTCTCATGCTTTCCTACCTCTTTCCTGACCTCTCTGCCTTTCCCACTGTCGCTGACCTCATTACGCACCTCCGCACTAGTGACACTCGCTACCGCGCCGCCCTTCCTGCTGAGTTCTGCGCTAAGAACCCCCCCCCCATGTACATCGCTCTCTACTACGTAGTCGCGCGCCTCCCTGACTCCCTTCGCGTCGCCAGGGACCACTTTCTCGCAGTCTGTCCCACCACCCTCACCGTCGACCTCCTCGAGAAGGCCCTCCTCGCGGCGGAGAAGAGCATAGTCACTGTAGGTGCTTCTCGTGGTGACCCTCGCACCCCCATCTTTGAGGGGTGCTCTCCTTCCCCCTTGCTGCCCTCTGTTGCCTCTGCTGCTGCTGCCGACCTGCTTGGTCTTGAGTCGGTCGGCGCGGCGTCTGCCCCTAGTGGGAGACGTCGCTCCAGCAAGGGCAAGGGGGGCAAGGGCGCGGGTGGAGCTGGAGGGGGCGGTGGCGGTGGCGGCGGTGGCGGCGGAGGGAGTGGGGGTGGCGGCGGGACTAGTGGCGGGGGTGGTGGTGGTGGTGGCAGCAGCGGCGGAGACGGTGGTGGTGGTGCCAGCGGTGGTGGTGGAGGCAGCGGCGGTGGTGGAGGCGGCGGAGGTGGAGGCGGTGGAGGCGGCAGCGGAGGAGGCGGTGGTGGTGGAGGAGGTGGAGCTGGTCGAGGTGGTACCCAGCAGCGTAGCGGCGGTGGTGGTGGCCAGCGCTCGCAGCGGCAGCAGCAGCAGCGCTCGCGGGACATCCCTTCGCCTCAGCAGCTTCGTGAGTGGTACGCTGGGCGTCAGAGGGGTGGGGGTACTGGTCCCTGCACCTACGTTCTTCGTTCCGGCGACCGCGCGGGTGAGCAGTGTGGGGGTGCCCACGCCACCCAGCGCTGCTTTGGCCGCCTGACGGACGCTTGGCGTCAGCAGTTCCCTGGGGCTAGTGAGATCCCTCGCTGGGATGAGCTTCTCAGGGCTGGTGTAGCGATCATTGATCTTGATTTTGATGCTATCCTTGCTGCTATGTATGTTGTGGATTATAGTGAGGAGAATGAGGGTTACCGTTGTTTCCAGCCCGACCCGGGCATTGGTACTGCTGCGCTAGGTGCTTGTGAGGCTGCTGCTCTAGGTGCCAATGCGTCTGTGCTCTCAGGTACTGGTGAGACTGCGCTCTCAGGTACTGCGTCGTCCTCGTCCTCCCTCACTTTCACACTTGACTCCGGAGCTTCTCGCTCCTTCTTTCGAGACCGCACTACCCTTACGCCGCTCGGCCGGCCGGTTGCGGTCTCCCTTGCTGACCCCTCTGGGGGTCCTGTCCTGTCTCACTTCTCCACTGTCCTCCCGTGTCCGGCTGCCCCTTCGGGCACCCTGTCGGGTCCGTACCTTCCCTCGTTCTCTACGAACTTGGTGAGTGGAGCGGACCTGCAGGATGTGGGGGTTCACCAGTTCACTCCTGCGAGTCAGAGGGTGACCCACTGCACGGAGGCAAACACAGGCCGACACCTGGCCACGTTCTCGCGTCGGCCGGGGTCGAGTCTCTACACCCTGACCGTTGAGTCTCCTCCTGTCCCTGCGTCTGGTCAGGTGGCTGCGTTGGGTCAGGTGCTTGCTGCTGCGTCCCGGTCAGGTCCTGAGTCTGCCCCCTGTTCTTGTCGCCTCCTGTCTCACGAGACTCTTCTGTGGCACCACCGTCTTGGCCACCCCTCCTTGCCCCGTCTTCGGAGCATGGCTTCCCGTGTCCTTGTCTCTGGTCTTCCCCAGTCTCTCCCTCCTCTCCCCTCCGGGCCAGGACCTTCCTGTGTCCCCTGTGTCGAGGGTCGCCTCCGGGCTACTCCTCACTCCTCCCACTTCCCCCCGACAGAGGCTCCCCTGCAGACGCTTCACATGGATGTGTGGGGGCGAGCCCCCGTCCGTGGGCAGGGTTACGAGCGCTACTTCCTGTTGGTGGTTGACGACTACTCGCGTTACACCACAGTCCTCCCCTTGCGCAGCAAGGGTGCGGTCACTGAGGTGCTGATCGACTGGATCCGCGAGGCTCGTCTCCAGCTCAGGAAGAGCTTCGGCTTGGACTTTCCTGTTCTGCGTCTGCACTCTGACAGAGGCGGAGAGTTCTCTTCTCGCCTTCTGCGGGACTACTGTCGTGCACGGGGGATCCGCAAGACCTTCACGCTTCCGGACTCACCACAGCAAAATGGGATTGCTGAGCGCCGCATTGGCATGGTCATGGATGTCGCTCGTACGTCCATGATGCATGCGGCTGCCCCCCATTTTCTGTGGCCGTTTGCGGTGAGGTACGCGGCGCATCAGCTCAACCTTCACCCCCGGGTCTCTCGGCCTGCGATGTCCCCAGCCTTGCTGTGGACGGGGAAGGTTGGCGATGCGTCTGTGTTCCGTATCTGGGGATCTCGGGCGTTTGTCCGCGACTTGTCTGTGGACAAGCTGTCCCCTCGTGCTGCTCCCTGTGTCTTCCTTGGCTTCCCCACTGACGCCCCAGGGTGGCAGTTTTACCACCCCTCCTCTCGTCGTGTTCTGTCCTCCCAGGACGTCACGTTCGACGAGTCAGTCCCCTTCTACCGTCTCTTCCCCTACCGCACTCCTTCCCTCCCCCCTCCCCCGGACTTCCTTGTGCCGGTTCCCCCCCCGGTAGACCCCCTCCCCCCTCAGGTTCCTGCCCCCTCAGGTGTGTCCCAGGTAGACGCCGTTGACCCGGTCGAGGTTACTGGTGACTCTGGTGCTGCTGCGGGTGCTGAGCCTGGGGGTGCTGACTCTGGGGGTGCTGTGCGCGGGGGTGCTGAGCCTGGGGGTGCTACTGCTGGGGGTGCTGGGCCTGAGGGTGCTACTGCGGAGGGTGCGGAGCCTGGGGGTGCTGAGCCGGGGGGTGCTGTGCCTGGAGGTGCTGGGTCTGGGGGTGCTGGGTCGGGAGCTGCTGAGCCTGGGGGTGCTGAGCTGGGAGCTGCTGAGCCTGGGGGTGCTGCGTCTAGAGCTGCTGAGCCTGGGGTTTCTCCTGCTGCTGCGTCTCGCCGGGAGCCCCTCTCTCCACAGGAGCTGCGCGAGTGGTTCGCTCGCCGCTGGAGGCGTGCTGCTGAGTCTGGAGGTGCTGCTGGAGCTGGAGCTGGAGCTTCTTCGACCGTCGAGGGTGCGGGTGCTGCCGGTCCCGGAGCTGCTGGACCTGCGGGTCCTCCTGGAGCTGGAGCTGCTGAGGGCGTTGGTGCTAAGCCTACTGCTGTTGGTCCTGCCGCTGGAGGTGTGGGTGGCACTGGTGCTGTCGCTGAGGGTGCTGGTGCTGTCCCTGCTGCGTCTGGAGCTGCCGCGCGGCCTCGGCCGTACTTCGTTCCGCTCCTGCAGCAGGTTCTTGGTCTTTCTCCTCCAGTAGAGGGTCCAC